TACTACTACTACTACTACTACTACTACTACTACTACTACTACTACTACTAGTACTACTACTAGTAGTACTACTACTAGTAGTACTACTACCACTACCACTACCACTACCACTACCACTACTACTACTACCACTACTACCACTACTACTACTCCTCCTCCTCCTCCTGCTGCTGCTGCTGCGTATTTACGAATCAAAACCATGCATTACTCCAGACCAAGAATGCTCTGCCGCATCTCAATTCATCCGCCTGCTCCACTGTCATGTTGCGGTCTTGTCCTGACTTCAGCTTAGGCAGCCAGGCTGAAAGCTTGGCTCAAACTGCGGCAGTCCTCCGATGCCAGGATAGCCCTCAGGAATCGTAAAGGTGGGATGGTTCATTGTACACTCCGACTTCGGAGTATGGGTAAGGGGGCACACTGAAAACTTAAAAGGTCAAACGAATGCCAAATCTGCAAGTTCCTCCAATCCTCAATCATCTCAGTATGACACCGCTGACGAAGCCATACTTGGTGCGGCTGGGGAGGCCAAAGGCCTGTCCTCACAAACTCTTGCACCAGACCCCGAAGCATGGTCCAGTCGAGTGATATACCATCACATTTACAAATAAGTTGTTGTGAACATGCGTTTACCAAAGGATCATGAAGAGGGTCCTTGATCGCGCGCAAGTCTTGCAGCTGCCTGATCTTCTTGAAGACTGCCTGGCACCATACACTGACGACTTAAGGAAAATCAAAGGATGGCACTCTACTAGCTTCTTGTTACTACTAGTAAGGCACTTGTTACTAGAAGCGATGCACTTGTTTCTAATAGCGAAAGGATGGGTGAAGACTTCGGTTTTTGGGCGACTGCCAAGTTCTCGAGCTTTCTTCCGTCCTTTCTGGTAGGATGCTACGATCGGGGCTCCTGGCCTCGCTACTAGGAACAAGGGCATCGCTACTAGGGGCTCCTGGCCGTCTACTAGGAGCAAGGATGCTACTAGGATCTGGTAAAGTTTCCTGAAGTCCTCAGACAAATCTCAACATCTTTTCGCCTGACCCATTTCTCGAAAGCGTCTCAGGGCCGGCGGATTGTGCCATGGCCTGAGCTTCAAAGGCAGCAGTTTCGCCGGGTATAAGGAAGCTCCACAACTGACATTGCAACTCCAACAAATTTCAATTAGGCCTGTTGCACATTAAAGATCATTAAAGGCTTTCGAAGGCGCTAACATGAAGAGTTGTTCTTGCAAGTAGCAAGGTATGCCTTCTGGTAAGATCTGGTAAAATCTCCTAACTCTCATCTGAGATGGGAACCCGCCCTCGATGTCGAGCTCTTGGGTCTGGTGTTTCACCTGGTGAATTAAGTTTCCCTAAAAGAGTGCGAGCGCTATCCTGCGTCCATATGTAGTAGCTTACTTGTAGGTACTAGCGACTCCCTAGCTTCTGCTAGCTACCTCTAGCTACTACTTCCCTCTAGCGGCCTACCCCCTCCCTTACAAAAGAAAAAGAAACGAATCGACTTTTCTAAGACAGTGGCAAGTTCCGCAATTTCGATCTCCAATGCTGTCACGCTCTCAGTATCGGAATAGGAGCTTGACAAAGCACCTGAAGCCAAGCATGAAATTCTGAGAAGTCCGATGCCCATCATGCTTGGCAGCTTGCTCTGCGCAGCTGCGCCAATCAGATCATAAATCACCTTGCAAACAGCGGTCCCACCCCTGGGAACTTCATGGAAATCCACTGGGAACTGCGAAGCTATCCTGGAAAACTGCTGAAACCAAACGGACCACACCTGCTTCTGATCTCCGAGCAAGTCAAGCGACGGTCGCAGAAGAGCATCCGGAACCGTGGCCTAGCGGGAGGGAGCAGCGGAGCTGAACAGCTTGAAGCTGAGAAGCGTCCTTGCTCCTAGTAGCGTGGCACTTGTTACTACTAGTAAGGCACTTGTTACTACTAGTAAGGCACTTGTTACTAGAAGCGTCCTTGCTCCTAGTAGTGAGAATGCTCCTAGTAGTAAGGCCAGGAGCTACTAGTAGCGTCCTTGCTCCTGCCAATAAAAAACAGAAATGAAAACGGCCTTGAACTTGACCACCCAATCCCACTTGCAATGCGCACGCATCTTTCATTTTTTCGGTGGTTCATGGTGCTTAGGCCTTTCCAGCATCAAGCAGCTGCACAGTCAAAACTTCTAACCTGAGCAGTTTGATTTATACGCATGGCGGGTGAGGTGACCATGAGGTGGGTCATGCAAGTTCTCCATGCAGAGTTTGCGTCATGCAAATCGATCTCAAAGCTTCAGACTTTGAAGCAATGTCTTTCAGGATTGCCGTGGACCTCAAAGGTAGGACTGAAAAAACGAGCGTTTGGGACGAATTTGAGCATCATCGAGCATCCCTGCGCCATGACTCTGCCAGGCCATGCACCTTGGGATGCAAAACTGCACATGTTTGCTTATCAGGGATACCATAGCATATCATGCTCATAGGTTGGAGGCCATCGCTTCTAGGGTGGAAGGCATCACTCTTAGGTTGGAGGCCATCGCTATTTTCATGCTCATCATGCCCCGCAATCTTACAGTGAACCCCACCAAATATCTGAGGTCAGCACGGGAAGCTGACCCGCCACGACTGGACACTTGAGGATATGTGAACGGCATGTCACATGGTGTTGTCCTCTCTCTGCTCATTTGTCTGATGTCATCTGTGGTACGATGGTAAAAAAAAAGAGAGGAAAGAAAGAAGGTCAGGCCCCCTTTAGGCCTTATCAAAGCAATTGCTGTATTTTTCTCGAGTCTCCTTTTTTTTCCAAACACCCCGAGTTCGACATATCTTAGGTGATGGATTAATGGATTCAACAGATTCGACTTGGATGTTTTTGCACGAGGCACACCTGTTTGCAGCCATGTTTCTCAGAGGCAACGGAGCAGGCGCAAGGCACAACGGCTCGAAAAAGAGACCTGAAGACACCTTCTCTGCCAGCTCTGAAGCCTTGCATTTGTAAAGGAGAACAAGTCTGGTTAAAGAATGCCTAATAAAAAAGACATGATGTCTCATTGTCTCATTGTGTCTCATAGACTCATGATGACTCATCATGGATTGTTGGAAATGCAAACACTAGTTTGTTCTCCTGCGGCTGACCACTGAAGCTGCCTATAGCATCCAATGAGCGCCCGTACATGTCACACGATCCATCCAAAAAACAGGTTGGGCTTTCGGTCAAGAAAAGCCCTCCTGGAGGTCTGTCACAACCCCACTCGCACAAGTGCACGAATGCTTGCAATGTGCAGAGTGGGTCGAAATGTTCGAGAAATGGCCTCGTGCGAGGCACTGTTTTCGAATTGGAAGCAACTGGGGTGCGTTCCTCAACCTCAACCTGACAGAGTTTCCTCTAGTCAGGCTTGTATAAACCGAAGGAATGCTTCACGCACTGTGAGAATCCCAACCAGTCAACCATTCTCAAGAGCTTCCCAAAATTGCCGTTTCGGCGAGAGAGTTTTGTTCCTTTCGAGCGCTTCGTTTGCTTTGTTTTTGCTCGTTGAGCTCTTGGAAGGCAAAGAATTTAACACCTGCCGTGCAGGGTACGATTGAAATTTGCAGGCTGGACGAATCTTGTCCAGTGCCTGGAAGAATGCTACCTCCTTGAGGTGATGACAATGAACCTCTACATCTCCATACTCTGTCCAAAAGCGATCGATCTGAGAAGACCAGCCACTGACTTCGCAGAAAAAAATCGTTTCAACTTGGAAAGCAAATCATTTTGTCCAGCCAGGTCACAGTTGCCAGGTTGCCCTATCCTCAAATTACAGTGCGGATGTAGCACAACCACTTCGTCTGTACAGACAGTGGGGCAGGGCTGCTGGCACTCCAAAAGGATCTGTGACCGCAGCGGTGGCTGGTCCATCTCAGCATGTCCCCGAAACACTCTGAGGCAAGGACCATGCAAATGGCCCCCAGAGAAAAAGAGTGTTGCGGAAACTTGAATTCAAAGCGCCACATATGCGGCCAGTTTCACAATGTTTCACAGTTGCTCGCTTCTGCTCGCTTCTGCTCGCTGCTCCGAACATTCGTTCTTGAACAAATCGGAAAAGCTTGAACCCCTCTGATCGGAATCTTTTGGAGGTCATCTCCAAGCTATTGTCTCCTTGTGGCCTTGCTTGAAACTTACACTTCCTCTTTTAAGCAGACTTTTGTTCGTTCTTTTGCCCGTTTGGGCTTGAGCTGTGTGAGCTTACTTTAGTTTCACCATGTTTCAGTATGGCACTGTCTCGTCGAATCGCTCTCCAAAGACTCCGAAGCTCAAAGGCCCAAGTCTCACCGCCTGCGGGCCAAAGTGCAGCACAATGTATCCAATTCGAAGTGCAACCGAATGGTACTAACAAGAGCTAGCGACTTTCGCAAGAACACGAAACCACCAAGAAAACATTTGAAGAAAAAACATGAACAAGAACAAAGTAAATTCCTTTAAAGGGGAGGTTCCATGTTCTTTACCTTCCTTTTTTCATATCTTTTCTTCTTATCCCTTGTACTCCTGCTTGCTTGGGGTCTTAGATCTGGAATGATGAGAGAACACTGCGAGAAGGATTTAAAATTTTCAAAATTGGAGTCTTTTTTTGGCACACTTTCCGGTGCACATCATGGTACACACAACTTGTGCGTTTTGGTATTTCAGCGGGTCTTGGCCCTTTCAGAAAGCCCGCTGCATGCTCTGCTCTGTCCGCCTTGCAGGGACCCGCTTTGGGTAACTCTGAAAGGGGATCGACGGATGAGGGAAGAGCTCCGCAAAGGGCACAAACTCGTCCTGATCCGAACACCTCCAAAAGCTCCAGAGAAAAAGGCGTTGGATGTGGAGATTTGCAAAATTGACACAGGGCAGGCCTCATCTTCAACTCAGGACGGAAGTAGTTCATGTGGTACCTGTCCATGCCAAATCGATCCGAAAAGCTGCAACGCTACAAAATCCGATTGAACCATATAAAACATTCGGCATGTCGTGGGATTCAGACCTGTGATGTAAAGAGGCAACAGGGCTCAGATGTCAATGATTTGTGGCGTGGATACTGTAGGGATCTAAATATTAGATATTCTTTTTGTTTGCAGCCTCTGTCCTGTATGCTCTGAAGTTTGAAACGAGTGAGGTCGGAGAGTTCAAAGCCTCACCTAGGGTGGACCCAGTGGGCACCACTGCTGCATCTCCAGGAGGCTGAATGGTCCTTGGATTTGACCCTTGGGATCAACGTACTGCCAACCTGCGACGTCGAGGATGAGCACCACAGTTTCACGAGGTGTCCATTGACTTCAACGCATGGAATCTTCAAATGTTGTCCCTGAGACGGCCAACAAACCAGTCTAGCTCAGTCCAGGATCCCTGTGTATTCAGTGTCCAAAGCCCAAGATAATCATGTGCAATCCTGAGAATTGCTCTTTGTACATCACTAGAGCCCATTCTGCAGGTAGACGCGTTACCTACAAAAAACAACCACGAAACTGGCGGAAAGACGCCTGTCGCTGGAGGTTGCTTCTGGCCACCTGGGTAAAGAAAGGATGGAGGCACTGCTCATGCCAAATCCTTGATACCCCTGCTGCAAAGATTGGGTGCAGCATCATTCAAACACCAGACCAACGAGTACCATGAGTGATTTTCTGTAGTTGCGCAAGCACACACACAAACATCTACAAAGATTAAAAATGATGTTCAACTATTGTGTGAAACAAGCTAATGTTAAGTTTGGCAAGCGTGTCAAGCTAGGTCACGAACCCATCTTCTGACCTTGAAATTTCGAAAGGAGTGCAAAGGGTAGGCAATGTACTAGGCAATGAGTTCGCCTACAGCACCTAATGTTAAGTTTGCCTAAAAACCTAGGAACCAAATGAATAGTGCGAGCGTTTCTTCAAGGAAGCTCACCCCCGCCCTCTGAGACGGGGAGAGCTTCCTTGAAGAAGCGTGAGCTATCCTGCGTCCTAAGTATTAGCTTACTAGAGTCCCTTACTTAATTAAGTAGGCAGGGGGCGGAGCGGGCCATTAAAAAACAAAAAGTTTGATGTCTTTCCTTTAGGATGTGGCCTTGGATCGCTTGTGCTCGGGCCATCTGTTGCTGCTGCTGCTGTTGCTGCTTCATCTGAGCCTTGGTACTCCACGGCGCAGGGATTGCCAGAAATGGATGACGGAAAGAGGTAGTGCTACTAGTAGCGTCCTTGCTCCTAGTCGCGATGCTCTTTGCTCCTAGTAGCTTCTTGTTCCTAGTAGTAAGGCCAGGAGCCCCTAGTAGCGTCCTTGCTCACGGAGGCAATGCTTTCTGCTCTTCAAGTCATTTCAGCAAGTCCAAGAGCTTTGCTGCCTGTTGCTCCAGCATCATCATCCTCGTCATCTGCATAGCCTCCTTGAAATCAACGCTGCTCAAATCTGCTATGTTCTGGTATGTTCAAAGCAAAAGTGGCAAGAGTGATGCAGCCACCTCGCTCTGCACGCCAGCATATCCTGCTCGCCTGGGCTGCTTGGCAAAGTCACGGTCATGATGGTCATGGTTGAAGCCGGTGAGGTTGAGTTTAATTTTACAGGGAAACCTGTGCGTCATCCGGACTTTGTCTTCATAATTTGCAGACTTCTTGAACTCAGGTTCTTTTCTTGTAACGGTTCGCGTTCAATTTTGCTGGCAAGGAACTGCCTTGCTGCTGCTGTCTGCGTGGCGGCGGCGGCAGCGGCGGCTGCGGCTGCTTGACGCTGAGCTTGAACCTGAGCCTGAGCCTGCGAGGAACAAAAACGGTAGTGCCATGTTTGCATGGAAACAGAGAAATGCAAGATGCTTGCCCAGGTGTGGTGTAATCTTCTTGTCTCTAAAAACCGTTTTAGACTGAGCGTTCTTCCCTCGCCTGGGCCTGGATTCTAGTAGCTGCTGCATCACCTGCAAATAATGTGGATTGAGTTTAGACCATCCCAACTTAACTTCAGGTTGCGCATCAACTTTGCGCGTAAAATGAACAAAAACGTGATGCTGGACCTCCATAGCTTGCCCGCATCATGGCTCGTGCCTTGCAGTTGACTTGGTATTGTGAAAAGGCCAGTTGAATCCAGTTGATATTTGGCAACAGTGAAATCAAAAAGCCAACAAAAACACAACACCCCACACATAAAACATCAACAGCAAGGAAAGCGCGTTGAATATCAACAAGGTAACAACCAACATACCAACAAATCCTCCCCAGAACCATCCTTTTACCGCTTTTGGGGGGGCACAAGAATCAATTGTCCGATTCCCACACTCATATAACGCATTGGCAATTGGAAAGGATACGTACCACCAAATCATATCGAAGGCACCAATTCTTCCTCCTGCTGTTGTTGCTGCAGCTGAAGCCGTCGCTGATGCTCAGCCGCCGCCTTCTGGGCCTTGTGGGTGCAGTGAACCGTACAAAGTACGAAACTCGCCAACTGCCGGAGATGAATTCGCCTGCTAGGCTGCTAGGCGGTGGCAACATCGCAAGTTCACCAAAAGCTGTGGGTATGCAACACATTGCTGGTAAGCCTAAGCCTCTTCAACTTGCCATGCGAGCATCACAACATGGCAATACGTCGGCATACCACACCCCACATATGCCCACAGATGCACAAGCAACACTAAGAACCAGGGAACTTGCCTCAAAGCCCGCTCAGAGCGTCAGCACGACGCCATGACCAATGACCGGACGTCAGCATCCCAGCGTGACACCGTCAGCTATCAATCAGTGTGACAGCATCTTAGTCTTAGTATGTCTACATGTCCGCAACACGCCAATATGACACCATGTCAGCATATCGGAGGGACAACACCTCAGCATGTCAGCATAGCGACAGATTAGCCTGTCAGCCAACACAGCACGTCAGCATGACAGCTTGTTTGCAAGTTGGCATGACAGAGCGACATACTAGAATGTCGAAATGACAGCGCACACCACACGAGCAAGGTCAGGTCAGCATGATGACAATGTGAGAAGTACGCCCTGGCATCTGCTCTTTCTCATGGCTGTAGAAGGTGAGGGTAAGAGTAATATATCGAATTATGGAACCTTACCTTCCCTTTTCAGCTCTGGTTTCTTGCACGACGGATACAGGTCTTTTGGTCTAATTATGGAATGGAAGCAGAAGCAAGGCAGGCCAGGCAGGCACCCGGCCCCGGTCCAGTACAAGCTACTGATCCCTTTACGTCATCTAACGTCCCTTCAGGAAGTCAACCTGCCTCTGCGTCTCCTTTGTATCCAAAAAAGGCTCCCGTTGATTCAAAGTCCAGAGACCTGCCTCCTTCTGCGCCTGCCGTGCAGCCTGAGCCTGTGCAGCCTCCCAGGTAGACTAGTCTCGAAGCATTTGCTTTGTCAACTCTAGATGCCTTTAGTCCATGTTACCATGCTCTTGTACTTTCCCTAGTTTCTCCATTTGCAGTCATCCTGATGCTTTCTCTGGTCGTCCCTGCTGAGCGCCTGGGCAGCTGCAGCCTGTGGCAGGATCCGGAATGAAGCAGACAAACATGCACCACCCAAGATGCTTCAGCGCCAGAAAGAGAAGCAAGAAGCCTATAGACCAAAATAATTTAAAGCCAGGCAGCCTGTTGAGCCTGTTGTGCTTGCTGCGCCTGTTGCGCTTGCTGCGCCTGTTGCGCTTGCTGGGCCTGTTGCGCTTGCTGCGCTTGCTGCGACTGCTGCGCTTGCTGCGCTTGCTGCGCCTGTTGCGCTTGTTGTGCTTGCGGTGGTGGCTGCGTTTGTGCCTCAACAAGGAATGAAATTGAAAAAGAATACAAAACCCGAATGCCACATTGTGCGGTCCTTTGGCTGTGCGGTCTGCGGCCGCGGTGGAGGTGGAGCTGCCTCTGCACTCCATTGAGCAAGGGAAACGGAGGTAAAGTTAGGTGAGTGGTTCGTCAGTACAACGTTGTGGCGTTGAAACAATTGGAGATGGAGTGGTGGCGGCCTCAGGTGGCGGCGGCCGGCTGGCTTCTGCCTCAAACAAAACAGAAGCATCGAATGCAGAGACCCGAAAGCGAGCACTTTGGGGAAGGCAAGGGAAAATAAAGAAAGGTCCCAAAAAAGAAAAGAGAGAATGGACGCTACTAGGGGCTCCTGGCATCGCTACTAGGAGCAAGGACGCTAGTAGGTTGGAGGCAGTCGCTCCTAGGGTGGAGGCCATCGCTTTTCGGGAAAGAAATTGAGAAGAGCGCAGAAGAGGTGTCGACTGAAGGCCCTATAGGGCGGCCCTAAAGGGCTATGGAGATGGTGAGACGGGCTTAAGATAGGCCACCTGTCGTAACAAGAAAGCCACTACAGAAGGACCACGGATTCGCATGGTGGATTTGGTTCCTAGATGTTTGGGAAAACTTAATAATCGAAGTGGTTGAAGTACTCTTTGCGAGTCTCTTTAGTCTCTTTTAGGCTCAGTTTCCCTCAAATCTAAGAACCAAACGAATAGTGCGAGCGCTTCTTCAAGGAAGCTCACCCCCGCCCTCTGAGGGCGGGGGGAGCTTTTTTGAAGAAGCGTGAGCTATCCTGCGTCCAGTAGGTAGTAGCGTCTCAGTAGCTACTAGATACCTTTCTTCTACTAGCTACCTTGGCCTACCCCTCCCCGGAGGGCTTAAAACAAAGAAAAAGGTCCTAAGTCTATACCTCTTCACGGCCTACCACCCCTGTTATTTGGAGATGGCGAGGTCCAAAAGATGCCAAGCAGACATGCGTTTCATCCGATGAACGCATTGCGTCATGAAATGCCAAGCAAAAAAAACTGTAAAAATGATGAAAAACCGGGAAAAAAAACTCCTGACTTCGGAAATGCATCATGAATTCGTCATTTCAAAGTTTTATGTTACATTTCTAACTTCTCTCTCCGAGCAGTCCCCGTTCGCCTCCTTTGCCTCCGTGGGCTCCTCCTCCTCTTTGGCCCTGAGCAAGTTCCAAACTCAATTGACTCAATGGCATCTGCGTTCTCCTAGGAGCAAGGAAGCTACTAGTAGCAAAGGGCATCGCCACTAGAACAAGGACGCTACTAGGAGCTCCTGGCATTACTACTAGGAACAAGAAGCTTCCAAACTCAGCGGGATGCAAGAGGACATTTGAGGCATGTTGAAAGTATGTAGGATTGTCAAGCGACCATCTGCAACTTGCTCTTCCTGAAGTTACTTGTAGTGACTCTGTGTTTTTCTTGTTTTAGACATCTTTAGACTGTTTTGGACTCTTTTTATCTTCCATTTTTCCATCTTATTGCTGTATGTTTTTCTCTGTCTCTCCACGTCTCGACCCTTTGAGGCAGGTGCTTTTGACGAGTTTTTCGATTGCGCCTGTCCTGAGTCGCTAAGCACCGATACCAGTTGACAGGTTTTCTGTGGTCCTGAGAGTCCTATTTGGAAGAACAAAGCATCAATTTTACCTTGATTCTTTCGGAAAAAAACAAAAAGTACAAAAACCATTCTTTCGGAATCCTGGAGTAGTTTTGAAGCGTCCGGGAGTCCTGGCTTCCATGCATTCATGAAACTAGGGAGCTAGCGTCTTCTGGTGCTGCCACTTCTCCCCGCATCATCTGAGCTACCTGAAAATCAACAATGACGCCACAGTAGCAATATTAGATGTTCATGTCAACAAATTTGAATATAAACAAATTAGAGGTGACATGTAGGCTTGAACTAAATTTGCTTCAAGTTTTGGGATGGGCAGTCATGAGATCAAGACCATGTTTGTGTTCTCTCCACGAGTGTTCTCTCCACGAGCTTTGGGTGGTCGGTACGCCTGTCATGCAAAGGCAGTGGTCAATTTGGCAAAGCACGCATACCAGCACTTGCAGCGGACTGCCTGCTTCTTCTGGGCACCGGCCTCCACCACATTCTTCGCATCTTCCTTCCGGAGAATAGCAAGGTATTAAAAATTAGCTACGAAAAGTTGAAAGTATCAATGCGATTCTGAACATGTTTTGAAGCTTTGCAGGCGTTGCTCACGGAATGTGCTCCGTCCTTGCTGGCTTGGGAGATCTCCTCTAGTGTCACGTCCTTGTATTGATTGTCGGGCTCTGGTCGCCACCTCGGAGACATACCACCGTGGCAAAATCTTCGATCCAAACACGTTTGTACTAAGGCGACAGCTGGACATCAAACAGTTCCTGAAGCGAAGCGAGATTCGCACAATAAAGTGTGTTGATTACTCAAATGGCATGATGTAACAATGTACGTTATCATCAGATCATCATATGATGAATGATACACCTTCTTTCTGTTGAGTAAAACTTTGAATGTCTTTGATGGCTCTTCAGGCTACAGATCAAGCCGCGCCTCGAAGGGAGTGGTGCAAACCCTTGAGCCACTCAACGCGTGCCAAAGACTCAGGCCATTGTCCACCTGACTAAGCAAATACAAAGAAAAGCTAAAAAAGAAAAAGTGTCTTAATTCTTGGCCTTTGGACGGAGACCTGTCTTTTTCCTTTTTACATGTTGTAAAGGACTTGACTTACAAAAAGCTACCTTTGCAGAAGCTAGGGGAAGAGTGACATCACAATGTGTAGCATTGCAATAGCATGCCATGTCCACTTCTACCTCATAGGTTTTGGACTTGACTACCCTTCCCTACGTACATCCAAAAACGCTCCGTTTCTTCTTTCCATTTTTCTTCGACCTTGCGTCCTGACAGCTCGTTTTCTCCGACGTTGGACCTACTAGTAGCTATTTGCTCCGAGTAGTAAGGCCAGGAGCCCCGATCGTAGCGTCCTTTTTCCCCTCTTCTTTTGGAACAAAGCTGTCAGCTCGGTGTCCTGGCCCGCATTCTTGGCGCCAGCACAGCCGTTAGAAAGTGGCGTCCATCAGGAGCCCACCTCGCGAATCCCTTGACGAGCAAGCTGCTCTAGCTCTAACAAGCTGGAGTCTTTCCCAAGCCACTAGGAGCAAGGACACTACTAGGGGCTCCTGGCATCGCTACTAGCAGCAAAGGACGCTACTAGGAACAAATGTCCCAAGAGTGAGTTCCAGCCCCAAAGAGCCCAAGCAGAATTCAAACAGAGAGTAACCAGAGAGAGAGACCTCTAAGATCGGCACTCTGCGGAGACTGTGCAGTTGGCGGTACAGCTGGAAACATGAGCATAGTCACCCTCTTCACGACCTGGAAATGAGCCAAACTGCGAAGTGCCACTTGTTTCTAATAGCAAACATTGTTACTACTAGTAAGGCACTTGTTACTACTAGCGATGCACTTGTTTCTAATAGCTTCTTGGGTTTGGAGTTTATAATCTCAGCTTTTTACCAAAGAAGTCCACACCCCCGGCCTTAGTTTGAGAAGCTTTGAGCTTTACGGATTGTTCAAAAATACTTTTTTAGACACATCACCAACTTAGGGCAAGCACTAGGTTCCCAAAGCCCGCAAGGCATACCAAAGAGCCAAAGCTGTTGAAGCGAATCGTATTTCGATGTGCCTTGATCGAAGAGAACCAGAAGCTTCCTCTTGCTTAAAGCCCTTATATAAAGTACGAAGCTCGGCAAAACTTGACAAGGGCATGGCTACTAGTAGCTTCTTGCTACTAGTAGTAAGGCCAGGAGCTACTAATAGCGTCCTCGCTCCAAGTAGTGATGCCCTTTGTTCCTAGTAGCTTCTTAATGCAAAGAGATTTCATGTTTCATCAGCCTTGTCGAGGAGAACCTTTTTGGCTGCAAGTTTCTTGGTCCTGTCGGCGCTTCAGAACTGGATGTTTGAAAACAAAATCATACACTAAGTAAGTATTGACAGTATTGACACCTTTCCGCATTGACTGTACTGAATAAGGGCTGGCCGCTGGCCCAACACGTTCCCCGCCTGTTGTCCCAGGAGAAGAGTGCCGACTTGGCAGGTTGAAAGCCTGAATTCTAGTGGAAAGCATTATCTATTTACAATGCATGCATTATCTCTTCTCTTGCTGTCCCCAATCTTGATACTCATGCATCACTGCATGCATCTATGTACAATTCGAAATCAGCCTTTTCGGACACTTGTGGCTGAAGGCTCTTTGCCGAAGAACTGCCCGGTCATGTGGGGAGTTCCCTCCATGTCCCCCCACTCCAAGTACAAACTCGCACGGATCCACTAGCAAAAGGTGCCTACTGGCGATGGCTTCCAACCTACTAGCGACCTAATTTAATAGCGATGGCCTCCAACCGGATAAGCATTGTTTAAAGAATCTCTTAATCCTGAGCATGTCTTTCAGCTTTCTCCCGATACTTACCCTTCACACGCCGCACTGCTCCGCCAGAAGGCTCTCTCCTTGAGTTCATCAACACGTAAAACCACCAAGAAGCACGCCTGAAATGAGGATGAACTCGTCCCTTGTCGGGCTCCAAGCGACTGCCTGCAAAGGCGGTCACTGTTTTCGGGGAAGCTGAGCCCAAAAATGCAAAACGGGTATCAGAGGGGTGACCACAGTTGCAAATGTTACTTTCTGAACGTTGGGATGCTTTATTCAAGCTTCGTAGTAGCTTTCTAGTAGCTAGAAGCTTCCTTGGGAATCGTTTCACTGCGAAGCGTTTCATTGTTTCGCCTATAGGAACAGCGACGCTTTTTAGTATGTCTTTAAGGCTTTCTAGAAACTAGAAGCTTCCGTGGGAATCGTTTCACTGCGAATCGTTTCATCTGTAGCAACAACGGCACTTTTTAGTATGTCTTTGAAGCTTTCTAGTCACTAGAAGCTTCCATGGCGCTCTTTAGTATGTTTTTGAAGCTACTAGTAACAATGGGAAGGACGGGGAGCGGGCCTTAAATTAAAAGTTGAGACGGCATGTGGGTAGTTGTATCACCTTCAGGCTGATAGTCTGATAGACCTTGGCGAGTAGGAGCAAAGACGCTACTAGGGGCTCCTGGCCTCGCTACTAGGAGCAAGGACGCTATTGGTAGCTCCTGGCCTTGTCCATAAGATCCTTGTGCTTCATAGTCGCTACTCGGTTAGAGGCCATCGCTAGTAGGTTGGCTTCATACTATTTCATTGTGCTGTCCACTACCTGTATGAGGTGCCACCGGGGGTGATGCACCGACGCGCAGAGCCCAATCCAACCAGCTCGTTCCTTGGTTTTCCTATGCAAAATGCAAATGTGCCTGCAGGACTGCAGGACCCAAGAGGACTGTTTGGTGATCTTCAGGCTGTACAAGCTGTTGTGGCAGTTTGGTTGTGATGCTTTGGTTTCCTCAAGATCAAATCACTCAGGCTGTACTTGTAGGTACTTTTCTCAGCATGTTCAGTGAAGCAAGTAGGCGGCCTGGACACAGCCACCCTGACATTCCTCGTCCGTGATGTCCTTCTTGACCTCTCCGCCTTGTGACCTTGAAAACCAACTCTACGACTGGTTTACTTGACTCTAAGGAACCTAATAGCGAGAGCCTCCACCCTAGTACCAATGGCCTCCACCCTAGCAGCGACAGTCTCCACCCTAGTAGCAATGGGTTCCACCCTAGTAGCGATGGCCTCCAACCTACTAACCTACTAGCGATGGCCTCCATCCTACTAGCGATGGCCTCCACCCGACTAGCGATGGCCTCCAACTTGTTTACTTGACTCTTGACAGTTTCAATATCCAATGGAACCGATTGAAGATCAGCTGAGAATAGAATATGTTGAACCAGCAATGCTCAAGCGAGTACAGTCTGTACAGTAGTCAATGTGACAAGCTTCATCAGGAGAGTGCCATGAGAACTTGTGCTACAAAACTTCAAACCCCGCCAGCTCTGAGAAACTCAAGCACAAGAACACGCGCGAAACAGGTTCAAGCGATTCCAAGTGACTGATCAGAGCCAAGTCACATGAACGCAAGGCGAGAGCCTCCGTAATAACTCTGACCAGTCTCGTCCACCTCTGTCTGGCAATGTGCAATCCTTACCAAGAGCAAGGTGCAGCGTGAACCGCTGCAGATTCCAACGGCTGGCTCTGACTGAGCTGCAGGCAGGCAATTGCCGGTTGAGTTCCAGAGCAAGTCCGCGACCTGACATGGTTTGCTCAAATCGCTTCCCAAAACTGTCCCAAACTCTCATGAAAAAACACATCTCTGGCCTGGCCACAGGGCACACCTTGAAGCCAAGTCTGCTACAGCCAAGCAACAATTGATCAATGCCGAATCATGTCCAAACCTCTTTTGCCTTTGCTACCAATCTCCAAAACAAGGTCTGTTTCCTTGCGTTCTATGCCAAGCAGCTCATCTTCGCGCTGGTGCTTTCTTGCAATCCATGCTGGTTTGCAGTGATCCTTGGTCCCAGGTGACAGAGTTCTCTAAGGTGCGGTGTAAAAGATAATTGTGGCCCCGACTCCAAAATGGAGACCTGCGGCGGGTGGCATAGGTTGGAGGCCATAGCTACTAGAGTTCCAGGCCATCGCTAGTAGGTTCCAGGCCATCGCTACTAGGGTGGAGACCATCGCTACTACTAGGGTGGAGGCCATCGCTAATAAGTTGGAGGCCATCGCTACTAGGGTGGAGGCCATCGCTAGTAGGTTGGAGGCCATCGCTAGTGGGGTGGAGGCCATCGCTTCTAAGTTGGAGGCCATCGCCACTAGGGTGGAGGCCATCACTTCCAGTGCATTTCACAGCAGCGTCGTTTCTTTCAAAGGAAGAATAACTGGTCGCTTGGTGCCTCTGCAGGTCCAGTCACGCGTTGCAAGTCGTCACGCTGATCTGCCACAAATAAGGCCAAACGGGCATGGAAGCCCTCCTGAGACACTGAGGTGGAAAAATACATTGTATGAAACTGTTGTTTTTCTTCTCGTGTGTCTTTCCTTCTTTCTGTCAGCCTTTAGACCTTTCATGGCCTTTCTATGGCTGTTCTTTATGTGTTTCTGTCTTTCGGAATGGAAGGACTGGTGGATTGAAACGCAAGATGAAGCAAAGCCCACAGCACATTGTGCCTGCGATGGGTTCAAAGGTGCAAACTCGAAGCCAGCAACGTTGCTAACCTGACGGGCGTAGCTTGTGCCAAGACGCAGCTTTCCATGCTAAGACATGTAGCTTGTGCCAAGATGTGCCAAGGAGCAGAGAGTTCCATCAGTGGCTGTACTGCCAAATCAGCACCATCATGAAGAAGAATCTTCCCTGTCCAATAAGTTGCCACTCGACATAAGCTATTGTTTGAATGTTCGCTTGGGCACAAACTCCTTGCAATCTCTAGCCACTATGAGCAAGCGACGCAGGCCTTCTGTTGTCAACCGAGCACAAAGGTTCTCATCTGCGGTCCACTGAAGAACCTGTTTTGTACACACGTGCAAACAAACTCCAGAGACTCCAGAGGAGAATTTTGGATTGAGTGCAAATGCTACCTTCTTGTCCTTCTCAAGCTTTGGATGGCAAAAGTGTGCCTGCAAAAATGACTGTACCGCGACAACTCTTTAAAATAACAAAACAATGTATTTGCAATGACCGTGTTTGCCCGGGTGCGTTCCGCCTGAAGCTCATACTCACGACCGACTCCAGCACCCGCACCAACCGCATCAGCACCAATGCGGCGCCAGACATGGACATTGGATTCCTCGCTGGCCCGGTCAAGCGCGGGTTGAGATGACGGGGATGCTTTGATGCTAGTAGCTTCTTGTTACTAATACGGCCAGGAGCCCCTAGTAGCGTCCTTGCTCCTAGTAGCGATGCCAGGAGCCCCTAGTAGCGAAAGAGTGACGCCAAAAAATAATGCAGCATGTTCAAAATCCGGACCTGTAGGTTCTTGCCACCCGGGGCTATTGACACCAGGGCTGAGCCCAAAGGAGACCTGAAGGTCGGGGAAGCAATCCGCTTTGTATTTAAGGAAGGCAACTGGGTAAGTCTGTCAGCGCAGCTTTGTTCAAGGAAGTCCCTTCTGAAAAAATCATGGCCGCGACGAAAGTCCATTCCCAAACACACCCTTTGCAGCAGTCAGACAGCAAGCGGTAAAGGAACGCCGCCAAGGTATATGGTAGAATCGGTATATAAATTAGATGGACTTCCTGACTCTACTCATCGGACGTTCGGTAAAATCGATTTATTTATATACGGTTTTTATGTTTTTACCCTTTTACCGCGTGCTGTGGTGTTCTAGAGTGCATCAAAAACAGCAAAGGCAGAAAACGGCCAGTAAACACAACAGGGGTCGGCATGTGCATTTACATTTCCTATATACAATCAAGCCTGTGTGCAAAGCGCTACAAAGAAGGAAACAGTGCGCACGTAGATTCACAAAAACAAACTGTAATAGAGCACCAAAATGCATCTGTGCATCACTCAATCCATGTGTTTGCAGAGCTTTGCCCGACTTGGATTCATGCGCATTCTCAAGCCTACAATGCCTACAACGTAACTTGACGCAGTCTGTGCACCTTCCGGAAGAGAAAATTTGGATTTTTTGATCTGAACCAAATACAGACTCTTGCTTTGAACAGCTTTGGTTCTAGGGTGGACAAATCAAGATTGGCTCGCATCATCTTTTCGCTATATCGTATGAGACTTTTCTCACTCCATGAGTTTGGCTGACCTTCGGAAAATCGGTAAATGTCGTAAATGTTCCGTTTTACCGTTTTACTCCTCGCTTCTGCCACCTCGGGATTTTACCGTTTTACCCTTTTACCCCACACTTGTGTGTTTGTGTGTGTGCTCAAGATTTTACACTATTTTTACCGTTTTACCGCCTCAACGAAAACTCGGTAACCCGAAGACACACTGGGAGCCAGCACAGGAAGATCGCAACACCTGAGAAGGTTAGTACGAAAGCCAGCGTGGGGCGCTGCGTTTTTTTCCGTAGCAGTAGCGGCCTATGGCCATGTGCACAGCAGCTTCTGTGGAGCGGCACCAGGGGAAAGAAAAGGAAGTAGGGGTGGGGCGATGTTGGCAAAAACAAACGGATGGAAAGGGCAAGGAAATGTGAAGGTTGCCCGCCGTCTTGCAGCAGCGAGCTGGAGCAGTGGGATGAGCTGTCACAGGGACTGTAGGTGGAGTGTCTGCAAGGTGTATAGGCTACACGAAGGTACACAGGTCGAGGTCTAAAGAGGGCGGGCTTGTTGGGCATGCGAAGGATGAGCAGATCATCAAGCGCGCGTACCCTGCTCAGGAGTACGAGCATCGCGGCAATCCAGTACAGAGGGGCGGAGAAGACAGCGACAAAAAAATTGAGACATATGACATATGTGTGATGTGTAGGGGTAGGGAAATAAGTGGATGATGTCCAAGGTGGGTCTGTAGTGTTCCAGGCACGCAGCTTTCATACTGGGCTCCCGCCATCCATCCACCCATCTGCTCATACTCGATCACCAACGATGATTTGCACCACCAGCATCATCACGTCACCAACACACCACAAAAAGCTCCACCGTTAACACATGTTGTTCCACCAATCGCGAGTGTTGAACCCATCTCCTCACTTCGTTCCCGAATATCGAACTCCATCAATCGCAAATTGAAGTGGAGGAAAGGAGTTCACTGGACCTAAGAATGTCCTTTTGAGCGGGTGAGAGCTCCCTTTCGCATCTCAAGCTCCAGGCCAAGCAAAGGTGAAGGTGTTCTTTGGAGCTTTGGGCAGGTCCATAATTTGAGCACCGGACCTTTGACGTTCACAAAAGAAGTCCATCAATTGGCATGCAAGACAACATAATAGGAGGAGGCCATCGCTTACTAGGGTGGAGGCCATCGCTAGTAGGTTGGAGACCAAATGGCACATCTCCTCTTGCAACTCCAAGAGGCATAGACTTGTCCTTGAAAACAGCTACCTGCGGCCCCTGCACTGGATCCACCTGGAAGGAATGATACCATGAGAGGAGATGAAGCGGTTCGCTAAGAAATTGACTGGTGTCTGGACTGCGCAAATCAGCAGCTCAACAAGGTGACAGGTCCACAGCTCAAATCGCAAATCAGCAGCGACAACAATGACAACTATTTGCTAGTAGCACCCACCAAATTGTGGAACAATCAATGTCAACGTTCCGCATATTAGTACAGCAATCTCTCCAGTCGCCTAGAGCGCAAAAAGGGCATTGTGCAGAGGTTGAAGGAAGAAAAAGAAAAAGGCGGCCAAAGCGATGACTTACGGCGTACCATGGCCAAAGCGATGCCATCTGGGCTCCAGCAAGCTGCTTTTGGCAAATTCAGTGGAAATGGAGGAGCCTGGCAGCAGCAAGAAGAGTACTACTAGCAATGGCCTCCACCCTAGTAGCGATGGCCTCCACCCTAGCAAGAGTTCAACAGTTTTTCTCAGATCTTCACCTATGTGAAGCGCATATCAGCACTCAAGTCGAGAAAGTGAGCCTGAACCTCCTCGATCTGTGAATTCGCAAAGCCTGTCGCACGTCACAGGCAGTACGGACCAGTACATTCAGATTCTTTTCATCCCAGGAAAATGGGAGAACAAAAACATTGGCTGGAAAGAAAGTTGCACATCTTTCCATTAACACCTACCAATGAGATTAGACGGTTTGTGCGACTTCATTGGCTGATGATGAGGCACCATAAAGTTTCAGGAACTCCTTCTCCCTCACATAGAATGGCAATGACCTCATCTTTTGCGATAAGAAAACAAACATAAAGTATATACAAAACAAAGGCAAGGCCCCCTTTTAAAGGAAACGTAAGTTACCTTCTTTTTTCATATATGTGTCCTTTACCTTATCAGCAATTTGTTGTGAAGAGAAGCGAACGGCATTGCTGAGCTGTTTGCTCTAAAGCTGCCATTCTGCTCGCTGCACCCTGCCATGTGAAAGTGGCATCTCCAGAATTCCAGCACGGCCACGTGGCATACTCAAATCATGCCGGATTCACCAAGCTTCACTAAGTGCCGGGCTCAAGCCCATAGTGAGACAAAATTGTCAAATGCTCTTGTTTTGGTTGCTGTTGTTCGGTTGTAGGTCTTTGATTCTGCGGCTGAAGGGAAGGAAAAAGGGCCCTGGCGCTGATACAAATTCCGCCCAAGCGGAGGGTGACAGAGTCGTCTTCCAGTGCGCTATGAATGAAGAATTAAATTAATTCAAATATAAATTACTAGCTTCTTGTTACTACCAGTAAGGCACCTGTTACTACTAGCGTGGCACTTGTTGCTACTAGCGTGGCACCTGTTACTACTATGAATGAAGAATGTAAGGAACAAAGACGCTAGGAGCAAAGGGCATCGCTACGAACGGAGCAAGGACGCTACGTTCGGGGCTCCTGGCCGTACTACGAACGGAGCGATCGGAAACTAGGAATTGTCAGAATGCAAGGAAGCTACCAGGAACAAGTGCATCGCTACTAGGAACAAGTGCCTTACTAGTAGTAACAAGGACGCTAGTAGAAACAAGTGCCACGCTACTAGGAACAAGTGCCTTACTAGTAGTAACAAGAAGCTAGTAGTAGCTAGTGCCACGCTAGTAGTAACAGGTGCCTTACTAGTAGTAACAAGAAGCTATTAGAAACAAGTGCCTTACTAGGTTCCGTGACGTGGTGACGTGGTGACGTGGTGACGTGGTGACGTGACCTGCGCGCCAAGCTGCGAGACAAAATGGCTACAAGTTCGGTAAACATCGCAACTGGCCTCCAACCGAGCGAAGATTAGAAACAAACAGGTGGAGATGCAACTGATGCAGCTCTGACTTTCAGTGGAGAATGTGTAAAGGCAAATGCCGAGATCAAGGCTTTTAGGGTGAGCCCTGCATACAGCAACACGTGGGTTTGCAGCTCCGATCCTGTCGCCCAAGCGTGCAAACGGGTGAGCTGCACAAACGCTGCGACGGTGACACAAGGACTTACGGACTGAGGACAGCCCTCTCTGAAGGCCCGCACCGAAGTTGATCATATCGGTTCCCACCTGAATCTGACGAAAATCGACGAAAATGTCAGGCTTTGGCAAAACTTAGAGTCGTTGCTCTGTCGACGTGTCACATTTCGTCTTTCTCGTCTTTCTCGAGTTGTAACATGTCAAAGTCTTGACGTCCAAGGAAAGAAAAACAAAAGAACAGGTCTAAAGGTCTAATGGAATAAAGAAATGACGCAAAGAAAAAAGAGTTGAAAAGAGTTTGGACCTTCCGCTTTAGCCCCTTCGAGCTTCCAGACCATAGTGTCAAAGGGCATGCCAGGATCCTCCACGCTTCTGGTGTGACAATGTGTGGCGCTTCAAGATTTGAAACCATGACGAGCTCAATGAGCTTCACGTTCTTCGGTCCTTCAATGTTTCAGCTAGAGACTTGAATGGATAGGGCACGCCCACCTGATGCAATGTCACTGCCAGTAAACTGTCAAGCCATATGTTACAGGCAACTTTGGACGGCCCGAATGCCATCCATGCCGAGCCGCGGCCCAGCCTTCTTCTCTGTGACAAGGCCCCCAGATTTGTAGGGTGAGAAGCCTGACGTGTCCCCAATCCGAATTGAGTTTACCTCAGTTCAGCTTTTCATCTGTCACCAATATGAACAATCAACGATGCAAGGCCCAAAAGCAGGGTTGTCTGGGATTCCAATGGCTGAAAACGAGTTGCTGTTGAATGCAAAACCCAAGAGCGATGGCCTCCAACCTAATAACAATGGCCTCCAAACGAGTTGCTGGATCGTTGGGCTTGGAACTGATCTTCCAAGCAGTGACCTTCTCGCCACAGGGAGACAACTCCTGCGCTTGAGCAATTTAAGCTCTAATGAAATATATGACATATTCATATCCCTTTCGGCTTCTGTGTATCTTCTCATGTTGATTCTCATTGATTCATACCGAGTATCCCTGCTCTCTCTCTCTCTCTCTCCAGTCTCATCTCAACTCTCTCTCTCTCGATCTCCTGGTGAGCATCTATACCTTCCTCAGATCGCGTCGACCGACTTCGTCTTGTGCCGTCGCTTCTCTGCCGGACCCTTCGTAAAGACCCCTTCAGACCCTTCAACATTCCTCAGACCCCATCGAGTCTCTTCTTGCAAAAAAGTAAAAAACATAAATTAAATATACCCTTATAGAAAAAGACTTTAAGGACTCTAATAGCGATGGCCTCCAACCTAATAGCGACTGTCTTTCTGTGTTTTTCTTTTGTCTTTCGCAATGGAAATCCGCGGCAAGTCTCGCAGCCCTGGACGTCGGAGAACTCGACGTAGCAACCCTCGGGTAGCGATCCGGGTGCCTCGAGGAACGCTTCGCACTGTTGGCGCGACAAACCATCACAAACACAAACCCATATTATATATATATATACACATATAGTATCATATATATATATGTATTACTATAATTGACTATATATATATATGATCTATGTCTTTCTCTTTTTCCCTACCCGACAGGATTAGATGGACTTTAGAGTAGACAACCCACCGGCATCACCCAGTCCCTCCCAGTTCGACAAACATGACAGCACATCACAAACATGAAACGCCAAACATTGACAACCACAACACACACATGAAACTTGACAATACCCCGGGGCAAAAAGCAACAGCAAACTATGTTATATATATATAGAGTTATATCTAATGAGACCACCAAACGTGACCACAACCACAACACAGAGTAACCCAGAGATGCCACCAGCAGCCCAACCTTGCCAGTCACCGCGACCCAGCTATCCTACCAGTGTCTCGCCAGTGCACTGACCGTAGATTTGCTCGCTTTGCTCGCAGGTCTTGCAGGTTCTTTACCCCACCTCATATAGACATTCGTATGGGGGCAAACCTAGTCGGCGGGGATGGTTCGAAGTAAAGCAATTCTTGTTTTTGGGCCTTTGGTATGGAACCTCAGAAATGAATGTAACTACCATGAATCAAAGTGGATTCCAAGAATGTCCTTGCCAGGAACGCAGTACTTGGTGGTACAAGTCAGCAAGGTGCCGTAAAGTGCTTGGTGCGGAGTGAAATTGAAAGCATGGCCAGCCATAACTCTAATTAGGCTCTTGGATGCTCTTGGCAAGATGAAGCGGTCAACAGGCTTGGGGCTTGGCCAACCCCAGCAGCCCTCTAGCCACCCTGTCAACCCTGCTGTCATCCCTGCCTGGCCATCCGGAATGCTGAGCCGCACGAGAGCCTCTGCCAAAACCCGACACTAGTAGGCTGGAGGCCATCGTAAGAGGATGCTACTAGGAGCAAAGAGCATCGCTACTAGGAGCAAGGATGCTACTAGGGGCTCCTGGCATCGCTACTGGTAACAAGAACGCTACTAGGAACAAGTGCATCGCTACTAGGAACAAGTGCCTTACTAGTAGTAACAAGAAGCTACTAGGGGCTCCTGGCATCGCTACTAGGAGCATGTCTTTTTCGAAACAACAACGACTTGACGGACCCGACGGACCCGATGGACCCGACCTCTGGCCCTGAGTCGATGCTCTCCACTAAGCGCACCATGGGAGCCTGCAGAAGCTATTAGCTTATTGTTACTAGTAGTAAGGCACTTGTTACTACTAGCGTGGCATTTGTTACTACGGATCGTCGGACGGAACGCAGATCGTCGAACTGTCAAATCAACAGATCGACCAATTCTGTCGCATCTTTTGAATCCTCTTGGATAGGGTCTAAGACGAAAATCGATTGGCCAAAGTCACAAATCTATTTGGAAAAGTCTTTGAATGACTCCTGTGTCCTCATACCTTCAAAATGCCACTAGGAAAGACACCAAATTTCCAGGATGCTAAGTGATTTTGGCCAAAGAAATCTGCCTTCAAATGGCAGATACTTAAATTTGAACAAATTTCAGGCAAGCTTCTACGGTACGAAGCACTACTCACCACTACTTTTTGTCTTCACCAACTTCATCCAGCACTTTGAAGGCTTGGTACAAGACCTGAAGCTGTGGTGAACATGCGCAAAATTGGAGGAAGCAAAGTATCAGACAAAAGAAAAGAAACCTTAACGCCTCAATATTATGATTATCATGAACGTGACATAACAAAGCAATTCTGCTGTATTCTGTGTTCATGCCTCCTGAGAGCTAGCTCCTCCAGCAGCGTACCTGGCTTTCACATGTCCATCACTTCGCTACTGCAGGTGTCCAAACTGCTTTCTGATCTCCGGTGTTCGAACATAATGTTCCTAGTAGCTTCTTGTTCCCAGTAGTAAGGCCAGCAGCCCCTATTAGCGTCCTTGCTCCTAGTAGCGATGCCAGGAGCCCCTAGTAGCTTCTTGTTCCCATCATGTTCTTCAAATGTTGAAAGGCTGGAACTGAAATGTTGAAGAGTTTGTACATATTTGCAGTGTCCACAAGCCGTACCTCTGAAACCAGCTCGACTGTTTGACGATTGGGGTAGCCTGGTAGGCACAATTTCACAAGCGAATGCATGGGGGCAGCTCTGCTGGCTCTGCTATCCTACTCTGTTAGTTTGGCACCACATCGCTGTTGGGTCTGAGGCCATCCCTATTAGGTTGGAGGCCATCGCTAGTAGGTTGGAGGCCATCACTATTAGCTTGGCAGGAAAGCTGCAAAGCTCAGAGTAACCGGTGGAATTGAATGCAAGCTTCTTCAACCGGCCTCACGGGGCACATACTTCTCCCACTCGTTCTTCCCCTCTTTCAGGAGCCTCACGACATCCTGCAAATTCAACAAGTTGATCGGCCTTCGATTCGGGTCTGAGTGATCAAGTCCGATCCAGCTTGAATGACTTTCATATCGTCAAAACCAAACCAAGCCCTATCCTCGGACTGCCCTCTATAAGGTTCATTGGTGTCTTGGCGGACCGCGGAGCTGTTCATGAATTCTGTTTCTATCTGCACCTGAGAACACAGCAATCCTGAAGACAGCGGAGCTTCCATCAGTTTGGATCAATCATTCAATCTATCTCTAGAGCAAAGACTGCATTCAAGTTTTATTCACTTGTTCCTAGTAGCTTCTTGTTACTACTAGTAAGGCACCTGTTACTACTAGTAAGGCACTTGTTACTAGTAGCTTCCTACC